AAACGTGAAGCAAATAAAAGTCGTCATTTTCAACTCATGAGGTAAACGTCTGGTTAAATCATTTGCAGTTTTAAACGGGCACGATGACTTCTGATATTTTAGGTACACGAAACGAAATCGCTCAGAGAGTAGATCATTTGTTAAAATTCTTCTATCGTTCTGGCTACCCTCAGAAATATGGATTACCTTTGAGCTTGAGAAAACGTGAGGCAATACTATCTCATCATCCTCACTCCGGAAAGGAGATGTGCTGAAAAATTTTTTCTTAATACCGTTGCTCACGGAAGTGGGCGTAACAACTACCGGAATTAGGAAGCGTCAGGCGATCTCTAGAAACCACGATCTTCAATTCAGAGGAAGAAGGTACGGCAATTCCTCCAACGCGTCGTCTGCCCTCTAGATTCAAAATATTGAATTCAAAGGGAAGTGAAGAAACAATACCCAAAAATCTAACATTCGTTATTCTAAATCCAGAGGATAGACAATGTCGAAAAATAGTTGTCGAAAGATGTGTCTTCTAAACTGAGCATGAAGCGGTTGTGTAGCGGCTCTTGTAATTTCCGTGTTTGGCGATTCGCGGCCTGCTGGTCGGACCGATATTAACTACATATGCGTCAGTGCTCCAACCCATCTGCATTCCAGCACCGCTAGTTCGCCTACGGCACACGGCCACAAAATAACCTTCTTCATCTAACATCTGGTTGGCCGCCTGACCATCAACAATAAGGAATCATTCACATCTAATACGTGGTTGACCAACGGGCGCATGACCCAGAAGAAACCTCAAATGTCCGAAATCCATTGGACAATGACAGTGACGAACACTATAAAAGGGACAATTTCTGTGTATTGACATATATCGACGACAATCTGTGTATCTACTGGAATATTAATCCCTTTCGTTAAGGAAGCACAGTAAAGTCAAGAGTTATATTTGAAGTAAATGGAGAACGGCAACGCAAATTCCTTGAGTCGCCAACTTCGATAGAAGCACTGTTAAGTAATACT